CTCCTAGTTAGAACAGACATCAAGAGATGGTTCCGACAGACTTCTTGACGAAACACTACTTACGAGGTTTCTGAAAAGCCTTTGACAGCCCACGACCAGTTTTATCTTCTTCGGGGCTCACCAGGTAATCGCAGTCTCTGGGTTTGATAATTTTTCTGCCCTCGGAATATGGGAGTTTGTCGGTTGAAAGACGAGGTATCCTTCATCTGTGCAGCTTGGGAAGGCGATAACAATCGATCGCTTGACCAGAATCCGCACCCAGGCTGCGAAACGAGTAACAGTCAATGCCTGATCTGTCATCGATAATTGGACCTCAGGCACGCTATGCTGTCATATCCTCATAAACCACAACGATATGCATCAAAAGCGTGCTGTATTGTATTGTGTCGTATTGTATTTGTGTTGTATTATATTGTACTGTCGAAATTATCCAGCACATTGAAACCAAACAGGGTGGTTAGCCTTGTCTAGAGTTACTAAACGTTTAGCTCACTCAAACTGACGTCCGAGCTACGCAGTTGGCACCTATAGGTGGTTTAGTGCTACTACCACTACTATCGTTTATTTGTGGAGAGCATGGATGTGGAAGGGTTACAAGAGAATACTATATGCAAAGAGAAGCGCCCCATTCAGAGTCGTGCCACCGACAGTCCCAGTCTGACAAGACGGATCCCAACGTATGGAAACGTGCGTGTAAAGACTAACAGTCGAAGAAAGGGCATACAATGCTGAATGATCTTCAAGGCCCCGTAAGCGCTTGCAGAGTCAAGACTCGCACATCAGACACAAAGTGTCCGTCATGCTGGGTCTGGTGTGATATTCATTGCTAGGAATGTGTACTGAACGCTATTAATCACGCATAAAAATGTCGTAGGTACGCAGAGTGCCCACAATGGCAAGCAAACGCAAATCACTGACTGATTTAGGAAGTCCCAGTTCAATAACAGCCTTAGCGGATCGAGTAAAGCAGATCCTCTGATGAGAAATGATCATCGGTTGGTAAGCCAGAATTCGACACCACAGTCGATTGCGCGTTGGGATGAGCTTATGACACAGTCATTTCGCGCCTTTCCGAGACTATGCTTACGTCTATCAGGGGTGAGATGGCTCGGTGGTTAGAGCGCGTATTTATTGACCAGAAGGCCTGTGGTTCGAACCCGAGCTCTGCCTATCGACTTCCCCTGTCTAGTCTTGGGCAACCTGGCTGTGCTCGTGCTTCCTTCTGGTGGCATGCTATAGCTGAACGATTATTTTATCTGATTTTTTACGTCTGTCACAGTTACTCGGCGCTCCCGAACAGCGGTTAGGTCAGGCTTGGTGAAAGACGTCGATGTAGGTGCTCGCAACTTCTCGAAGGCGGTGTATCCTAGGTGACGGAGACGTCTCGCGAGTTCTCTTCCAGCACGATTGTGACGAGCATATCTAGCATTATTCTTGATTTAGCAGCGCTGTAACATATGTACCAAGCTCTCCGGTTGGCCACAGTTTCCACGACAGAAGTTCGTCCGGCCACCATGGTCACACTGAGCGCTTCGTACTCTCTTCCTAAGCAGTTTGTATCGGGACTCGATGCCGGAGCTAAATGCCCGAGGAAGCACTCGTTTTGGAAGTACGAGCAATCGATTCGGGAGAGGCGAACTTGCCAACTCTTGGTAACTGCGACCCTCAACGGTGTTGTGCAGGCTTTCGCCCCAAGCAGCCCCCATACTACTACGTTTACATCCTGCTGCCGTTCACGGTCTTAATACAGTTCGAATACCCAACTGAACAGCGGCAAACGGTCACGGTTGTTAACACCCTACCAAAGAATTCCTTATTGGGATGATGGATCCGTCATGGTCCTTGATACTTCCGCTAGAAATGTTCCCGAGAACCGTCATGTGAGGGAATTTTCTAGCGTTCCCAACATCTTCCATCCCCTCTTCCGTATCTACTAGGTTCCACTGTCAACATGCATATAGATTTTCACTTTGAAATTATAATCCATCGAGTTGAGTCATGTTCAGTACCGGCAGGAGTATTTTAAAGAGACAGGTAACGCCAGTATTCTTTTCAGTGATCAAGATTCGATTCGATTTGTTTGTACTGGGCCTTCGAAGCTTCCTGCATTACGTAAAATCGCGGCGAGCACTCCTAGTTAGAACAGACATCAAGAGATGAGATCGACAGACTTCTTGACGAAACACTACTTACGAGGTTTCTGAAAAGCCTTTGACAGCCCACGACCAGTTTTATCTTCTTCGGGGCTCACCAGGTAATCGCAGTCTCTGGGTTTGATAATTTTTCTGCCCTCGGAATATGGGAGTTTGTCGGTTGAAAGACGAGGTATCCTTCATCTGTGCAGCTTGGGAAGGCGATAACAATCGATCGCTTGACCAGAATCCGCACCCAGGCTGCGAAACGAGTAACAGTCAATGCCTGATCTGTCATCGATAATTGGACCTCAGGCACGCTATGCTGTCATATCCTCCGAGCACTCTAGTTAGAACAGACATCAAGAGATGGTTCCGACAGACTTCTTGACGAAACACTACTTACGAGGTTTCTGAAAAGCCTTTGACAGCCCACGACCAGTTTTATCTTCTTCGGGGCTCACCAGGTAATCGCAGTCTCTGGGTTTGATAATTTTTCTGCCCTCGGAATATGGGAGTTTGTCGGTTGAAAGACGAGGTATCCTTCATCTGTGCAGCTTGGGAAGGCGATAACAATCGATCGCTTGACCAGAATCCGCACCCAGGCTGCGAAACGAGTAACAGTCAATGCCTGATCTGTCATCGATAATTGGACCTCAGGCACGCTATGCTGTCATATCCTCATAAACCACAACGATATGCATCAAAAACCCCCCTATGGCGGCGTCAGGTAGCACATCTTTGTGACTTATGGGTGTCCCAAACACCAGCTGCTAAATTCCCGTTGGCAGTTTCCTTCACGGACTCTGTCTATCTGATGCGGGAGGTTAATAAATGGCTGAGAGTGATACTGGCCTCGAAACAGACTGTTGCAGCGAACTCTGAACCACAAGAGCAATCGCAGGCGTAGAAGGATGACAGAACTGTTCAACGATCGTACTGGGATTCTGACTGTATCTTTTGATGCCCGACATACATGTTAGGCGAGCCTTGTTTTCGCGTTTGCTTCAAGTTGCCAGTATTGGAGATAGTCCGATAGAGCGAACCTCGTGACTTGATTGATTCTGAGATGTTTGAACCTGTCAGCGTTCATTGATGTGGAGGATGGTTCAAGACGAATCAGACCCTGAATCCTAAGGAATGGGTTCGTGGGAGGGCATCGATAATTGGGTAGATGAAGAGAAGACGAAACGTTGTCAAGAAGGTTGGCGTCGGTAGTAGCCGCCCTTGTATGTGTATCAATTATACGTTGTAACGGTTGATGTAGTTTGATGTCTTTTAGGCTCGTCTGAATCATGGTTATGCCTGACTTTCTTCTATAGCCTCCAAACTAAGGGAGGATGTTGGAAATTCTCAAACCGAACCTCTGGCCCAAGAGTCTGACCACGACGGCGGTGTTTGGTGAGAAACTCTAAGGCATTTTGGTTATCAAGAGATTATTCGATACAGGCGTTCAATTGCCTAACCGGAAAGGTCAGCGTATCGCCTTTTGAGCCCTATCCACTGACAGATCTGATACGAGAGGCCCTGCGGATATCACTTTCAAGCATCTCAGTATGTCGATCACTACGCTGAGGTGAAGTTCAGTCTCTCTAATACTCTGGTTCGGCCATACTATTCGTATGCTGTATACCTCACTGTATCTCGTTTCCTCAAGCGGCTTCTGGCTGGAAGGTACCAAAAGGTGAACACGGCATAGAAGCCAAGAATATAAAGGAAAACTGATCCAAGCTGAGGTAGTACAATTTATCTGTGAGGCTGACTTCATACTATATCATGATGTCTAAATGCAATTACTTCATCGATACGGAAAGACGTCCGTTGTTTTTTTCTCATGCTCCCTGTGAACGTAAAATTTTCTGGCGCAAGGTTTTACTTTTTCCTTTTGAAGCATCATTATCCGCTCCTGGTATATCGCTGTCAGTAATGGTGAAGGTGGAAGTTTTGATGGTGGTGACGATGTATTAGGATCCTTGTCTTGCTTTTCGTACTATTAACCGTGCAGATGTACGCGGTTCGCGGTTTTTAAACTAAACGGGCGAGATAGATCAAGTGGTTAGAACGCTAATTTACTGACAGCAATGTCAGTGTTTCGAACCCGACCCCTGCATCTCGACTTCCCCTGTCTAGATGTGGCAACCTGGCAGTATCCCATCCCTCGTGCTTCCCTCGGGTGGAATGGCAGCCAAGCACCGGAAGGGTGTTACAACTGAACGAAAAGATGGATGGAGTCGTTTCTGATATCCACACCGGCTGACCGAGTTTGGAGACAACGAGATGATTGATCAATATCATGAACGGCTACACATGGTATATTTGCTTTGATGGTTACTCCATTTCCTCTTCTTGGTTGAAATTTGAGCGGCGGGCGTCAGTGAGTTCTGGTTGGCAATTTCTGTCCGAGTTGTCCATTCACGTATGTGCTAGTTTTGCTTCTCAAACAACTGGTCGTTCTATGAACACCACTTGCCCTGTTTCAAAAATATATACGCAGTCCCCTGTACCAGTGTTTGTCAATCATAGTGCCTTTTGAAATGGGAAGACAGCTTCCTATGCAGCCCGGTGTCATCAAACCACCGAATGATGTTGTTCAGTTCCCATAGTGTCAAGTCTGCACACCCCTAGTGGAATGATCTAAGGTTGAGATCTAACCAGACTTATTGGTCTACCTAGTTATTGAAACTCGCGTACTGCATGTGTGATTGATGTCGCGATAGCAGAATTATAATTTGATATAGTGACTTAGTCATGTCTAAGATTCGTCAGAATGATGGAAAATGTTTCGCTACTTCAAATTACCCTTTTTCAATCTTGTAATAACATTCACGATTACAATCATGCTTACTGCTCCTTCCAGCGATCCCCAGAATGCTAATTCAAACAGTGTTTTTCTCATCGTTGTTTGCTGCGCTCTGTGTCGCCTTCAATCCCAGTCGATTCATGGCGAAACCGCCTAATTCTAGTCAGTATGACTACGAAACCCGGTACTTTGATGTTTTGGTGAGTTTGGTTGGGCTTTTGACCTTATTGATAAAGTGACAGCTGGACCACTTCACATTTGTCAGCGATTCTACGTTCAAGATGAAATACTTGATTTCAACCAAATTTCATGTTCCCGACGGACCTATACTGTTCTATACGGGCAACGAAGGAGCGATTGAAACATTCGCAGAAAATACGGTATTGTTTTTTTATATCTAACAGCTGTTTTAGGGTTTTATGTGGGACATCGCAGAGGAATTGAAAGCTGCTGTGATTTTTGCGGAACATCGCTTTTACGGAAGTTCATTGCCTTTTGTGAACGATTCTTTCAAGGCACGTTCAAATTCTGTTATACGCCGGGCGAATATTCCCTGAAATAAGCTTTCTGCAGCTACCTTTTTTCTTTCTCATTCTCGGTTCATATCAGTTGACTTTTTTCCGACTGTTCAGACTACGGAAGTTGCATTGGCTTCTTGCAGTACCTCTTAGGTGTTTATTGATAGGTGATTTGTTATTCTAATGAACTTTTCATTTGTATCATTGGAAATAGCTACGGATTTAGTCAAGCATGGGGTCAAGTTGATACGATAAGCCAACTGTGAGCAGTCCTTTAGGCTATACCCGCATCAATCCTTTTATATTTGACAAAGACGTGATCCATAAATTCGAGAAGCCGGTCATTATTTCAAGAAAACAAGATGTAATGACGAAAGGTTACCATAGCCTGCACCTATCGACCAGCACTTTCATTAGCGAAATGCCGTATTACCTATAGTTTTAGGGCCGCATCATAATTCCCGGAATTGTACATAAAGCTTCATTAGGTTCCAACGTTTTGCTTGAAATGAACCCTTCACACCAAAATTCTTTCAGAAGTTCGGTAAAATGACCGTCGTCTTCACTGATATCATTACAAGAGAAGAACAACGGTACTTCGCTTCCACACAACATGTTAATTTGTTTGAATAGATACGGGATGCCCATATCCACAACACTCAGTCAAACAGCTTTGGTGGGAACCGACAGCATAAACGCCGTCATGAAGACCTTAATCCGGTTTGACGATTTGTGCACCTTCACTGAGCTATCCTTGGGGTGTACACGTGACACTCACAGTGCCTCTCCTGACAGGTCGGTCAGTAGGTAGAAGTCCGTGTAGCACAGTTCTGATCCTCCAGGCTGGGCTGAAACATTTGTAGCGACTGGCTATTCAAGAGTGCACGCTGTTTTGACAGTCTTTCGCCAACCAGTGCTACCTGACTGCTTTGTGCCAAAGACTTTGCACCCTAATGGTCCTCCTGTGTAGGTGCAAGCATTATCCCAGCCCACGTACAACCATGAATTGCACACTTGCAGATAATCTCATACCATATAAAAGTGGTGTAGTGCCATCAGCCGGGTCGCCGTACTAGCTGCGTACAGTAGGTTAGTTAAGCCTATGCCCAACCACGAATTACACATTTGTGGTAAGATGGTCACTCTCAAAGTTATCCAACTGGCTTCAGTTCACTTCGACAAACTCGACAAACAAACACTTCACGGTCTTCATCTAATGGTCCTGTAGGTGCAAGCATTATCCCAGCCCACGTACAACCATGAATTGCACACTTGCAGATAATCTCATACCATATAAAAGTGGTGTAGTGCCATCAGCCGGGTCGCCGTACTAGCTGCGTACAGTAGGTTAGTTAAGCCTATGCCCAACCACGAATTACACATTTGTGGTAAGATGGTCACTCTCAAAGTTATCCAACTGGCTTCAGTTCACTTCGACAAACTCGACAAACAAACACTTCACGGTCTTCATCGTTGATCGGAACACAGTTAATACACTCATTTTCATATCAATTGGGCTTTAAAGGAGCTTCAACCGAGTCTTAACTGAATCTGTCGTCTATGCTATCCTTGAACTGAACCTGCTGCCCGAAGTCTGTCTTGTGTGTCAGTTAGTATGATTGTCAAGACATCACAGTAAATTTCTTGAAGGGAACCTCTAGTAAGGTTGCTGAAAACTCATTGGCAGCCCACGATCGGTTGTCGTTCAAGTCGGCTTCAGTTATTACGTACGGTTGACGGAGACTCGGTTACTCCACCTACCTGATGAACCCCAAGAAAGGCAAAACAAGTCGTGGGCTGTCAGCAGCCTTTTTAGTAGTTTGCTTCAAAGAGTACAGTTAGTGAGACTCGGTCACCTACCTGATGAACCCCAAGAAAGGCAAAACAAGTCGTGGGCTGTCAGCAGCCTTTTTAGTAGTTTGCTTCAAAGAGTACAGTTAGTTTCTTACCCTTGCTCTGTACATGTACTTTTTGATAAAGACCGCTGACAAACATTGAGTGTATAATGGTTTGATTTGTCTTAGTTCCTGGATGGGTGTGCGCACGATACTTATTGTGTCACCTCAACTGTTGGTGAAACCAAGCTTCCCATCCTAGTGAACGAGCCATAAGCCGGACGTCGTTTCCAAATGCATCTAAGGTTGAAGTTGTGTGAGCTAGTCAAATGGGTTCACCAAAATCAGAGATTCAAGTAGTATCTTGAGATGCGTAAAATGTACCAGGAGTTAAAATGTTGACCACTCGGTTTTCTATATTAGCTTATTGCCCGTCAATCTGGGTGCCATGTCGTTGTAACTGCATGCGTTAATTTCCTAGTTTGGAAACGGAAAGTCGTTTTCACTTGACATTCTCGAATAAAAAACCTGTTCCTCCCGAAGATGTGTCACTTGGATCCAGTTTATCAGCCAGTGTCCGTATATTTATTTCCGTTTTACATTTCTTTTCGTGCTGTCACAAGCAAGACCGAGGTTAGATCATTCTTGGTCAACATTTTGTCAAGCTAGAATCGGACTTATAAGACAACTGTTTTCACCCTCTTCCTATCCTCAGTTATCGTTTCGGTCTTTTTCGATCTTCCGCAGGATCCCCAACATTTCGGTTATCTGACGGCTGAGCAGGCTCTGGCTGATTATGCATCCCTAGTTGATTATCTGAAGTCTTCAGTTGGGAATTTTGGAAATTCACCAGTGATCGCTTTCGGCGGCTCATATGGTGGTATGCTCTCGGCTTGGCTCCGGTACAAGTACCCCAATTTGATCGCAGGGTGAGTCTGATCCTCCTTCCTTTGATCTTTGACACCTTTCGTTTGCTTCTGTCGTTCTGTTTTTCTTAAATATCCAGTACGAAATTCTACTACCGCTAAGATTGCGACCAAACTTTACGTTCGGTTTTATCCTTAATGGCTCTGTTGGTATAGCGGTCCTATATGGTTTTTCTTGGACATGAAAACACTGAAAGCGTCTTCCGTGCTCCAACCAATATCATCTCTGTGAACTATTGATGACGTTAACACAGACTCATCAGTATTTTGGCTTTTTAGGTAACTCTGGCGGAACATTACATGTGTGAATCTACTTCTGTTCCGTGAAAATCTCTGTTTAACAGCGGTTATATTGCGTGTTATTGAGTGATCTCTAGTACGATTTCAAGCTGTGCCCGATCAAACCGTTCCCATCTTTCACCTGCGCACAGACAGCGTGGGATGGGTTGAGACGGAGCGCACCATGATTCGATGGTACACACATACACGTAGTCTGACTGCACACCCAGCAGTATTTGTATAGCTAAGCCACTGTTTCCTGTCTAACCAAGCATACCCGCAATCACCTGATGCACGCTTCACGATCATCAGCTTCCAATGCCTAAGTCCGTCCGCTAGTCATAACATCTTTAGAGCTAGAGTCATGTTTTGTAGCTTGTGGTGGTCACAGCGATTTTCAAGTGGTTATTTGGAACTTTACGTATTTCGAAGTCCAACGGTTAGGTGCCTGACACTTGGACTTTGTTCTATGCCGTGTCATTAAGCAGTATCCGATCATTGGCCTGTGGGTTTTCAGCCCACTCCATGGAACGGAACTGCCTTTGAAATGTTCCGTTTGATTTGGTTGGATTAGTGACGGCAGTTAGTGATCAAAAGGTCATATTGTTTTGTACTAATGCTCATCTTTGACGGGCAAGCGTTCACTGACAAGTGGGTTAAATGTGGAATTTGAAAAGTGAGTAAATAAGTGTATTTGGAAAAATCATTACTTCTAATTGTATCTTTCGTTGAGTAACCATCTCGGCTGCTGTGTATGCCTTTCATATTGTTCATCCGTCACGAAGAGACTGGACCTTATCGTGGTGTGTGTGGTTGTGTACCTCGGCGACCCATTGAGTT